GAATTCTCTTGGAAGAATCTATTGTATGTGTTTTGTGTATGCTCATTTCAGCTGATATTAGAAAGAAGCACCTTTAGAATTCAGAAAAGACAAGGAATCCAGAATGAATGTCCTTCACACATTTTCTGTTGACATAGAATAGTGCCTTAACCTATCCTAAATAAACATAGGCCTCCACTGTGCTAAAAGTGCTCTAAGCAATAAGAGTTTACAACCTCTCTCAGTCACCCATGCCAGGTCATTGCCAAAGTTCACCTTTAATGCTCTCTCACACTGCCGACGGGACTACAGGTCAATGAAACCTCTCTGAAAAGCAATTTCGAAAAAACATTACCCCTTTGATCCTATAATTCCACTTTTATAAGCTGTATCCTAAGAAAATATAAAAAAGTACAAACAATACTGAATAAAGATGTAAATTTTTGTATGTATTTTAATAAGAATAATTAGAACTGCAGTGAATATAAGCTGTTGGTACATAGATTATATAAATCAAAAAATAAAATATTATATAGTCATACACACACAGAAACAATGTTAGCATGATACATTTTCTGTCTCCATTTTGGCTGAGCCCCTAAAAAAGCAGAAAACAATACATCAGGGAAAGTATTCTTACCTATCAAAGGTGCTAGGCAGCCCAAGAAGAGGACAATCCTCACCCCTTAGTGTAGAGGAAAGAAATCCATTGCATGGCCCAGCCTCCCAGCATCTGGAGAGATAATAGGTGCATTCTACAGAGTTACTCAGAGGGTCTGCAGTGGGATTGAACCCCAGTTGCTGATGACAATACTCAGCTCAGTAACATACTCTTTATTTTCTTCCTTTCCTGCCCCACGTGGCCAGTCCCCACCCTTCTGCTTCCTACAATCTACCTCCCAGTACAAAGCCTGGACTCAAGTTCTTATCTCAGGCTCTACTGGAAGGTAAGATTACGTTACCCCCAAAACATAATGCCAATAATATCTAAAACTCAGAAAGGGAATTAGGGATTTGGGATACCAAAAACTCAGGAAGGGAATTATGTACCAAGAGCTCGTTTCGTCCCCCACCCAAAGCAAGAAAACACAGCATGAAAATGTGGCTCTCTGCTTCAGAGAGGGGAAATACACTGAGAATACACACTAGATTATTAGTGAGTTATCCTATCCCAGCATTATCATCTCATCACTGCCATTGTCATGGTCATACACCAGCAGAGCAAATAGGGGTCAGTCAGGATCCCCGCCCTTCAGGGAATCACAGAACTGGAAAAAGACTCACAGGCCTAGGAACTGTTTAAGGCGATTCCTCTCCCGAACACCATGTTCTTGCTGTCTCTGCTATCAAGAAAGCCTTAAGAGAACACAGCGTTACACGCACCAAAAACTATAATGATGAGTGTCAAGGGCAGGACTATAATGTGTTTATAAGTCTTCTGTCCCAATTTGGAGCCCAAGTCACATCCAGATAGACAACTGATTCTCTTTTCTGTGGTTATAGTTCCTTTTATTTCCTCATGTATTTCAAACTACTCTTCAGGAAAAAGAAGGGATTCTGAGGCTAGCAATGAGGTAGACTTGATAATATATGATCCCAGCGATCTGAATAAAGATCCAAAAAGAAGGTTGCTCTGTGTACAATTCCACATGCTTGTCCTTGGCTCCCCTGCCTAGAAGATCAAACTGTCCTCTTTACTGCTTGATAAATGTGGGCAAAAGAGCAATGGAACCAACAGAGTTGGTAGTGCTAGCTACCAAACGTTTAGGACAGAGGTTACAAAATCAAATGTCTCCAGAGCTCAGGCAGGTTAGTATAAAGTAATGCAAGCAGGAATTTGTGGAGACAAAGGCAAATTGATGAGTATGTGCCTCTTTTGAAAGATGATTCTGAGCTCTAGGCAGTTAAAATCCAGTGTTGAGAGACACTGCACTTTTTTTTGAGCCTCAAAAAAAGTTGGTTTTTATTTGTCGTCGTTGATAGACATTGCACAGTTTTTGTTTTGTGTGCGTGTGTGTGTGTGTGTGCGCGCGTGTGTGTGCGCGTGTGTGCGTGTGTGTGTGTGTGAGTGTGTGCGTGTGTGTGCGTGTGTGTGTGTGTGTGGCAGTGTGAGCCTCCACATTGTCACCTGGGCTGGAGTTTAATGGCACGATCTCCACTCACTGCAACCTCGGCCTCCCAGGTTCAAGCAATTCTTCTGCCTCAGCCTCCCGAGTAGCTGGGATTACAGGCACCTGCCACCACACCCAGTGGCCATAATCACAAACTCCTGACCTTGTGATCCACCCACCTTCGCCTTCCAAAGTGCCGGGATTACAGACATGAGCCACCACTCCTGGCCAACATTGCACATTTTTAAGAGCAACCAAGAAGATAACTAGATTTTACATGAAAGCTCCTGAGTTTTCCATGGTGGCAACTAATCCAAATGTTTTCTGCTCATTCTATATTGGCCTGCATAGGATGTCAAAGAAAACACATTTGTGGGCTGTGTTTGAACATAAGTTATGAGAGTTATCTACCGTAATTGGAGAATATATTGAAAGTACACCATAATGGATGACTATAAATTTTTGAAAAGCAGAAAGACTAGAGAAAAGCGTTAGTTTATGTGTCGTAAATAAGCAAGGGAGACTCAAATTTGCAAGCTTACGCTTAGTGGGGCTGGTAATTTTAGATTTCTGGTCTTTTGGGGACATGGTCTTTTGGGGGCATATTTCTACTTGTCCCATCAAGACAAGTAGAAAGATCACCTACTGCAGAAAGGCATCTGAAAAGAGGAAGAGGCCCCTGAGTACAAGAAACAAGCTACCACAAAGAGTTAATGAACCTCTTAAGAAAAGGAAGCATATTGTTGACACTTAGATGAGACTCAAAGAAGAAGGATCTATCCTCCCAGGGGTTGGAGGAATATGAGGGTAGATCGAACCCTGCCAGCCAGCTCTACCTACCTCTTCCTTTGTGTGACTTTTTGAAGTTATGACTTTTTTTGGAGGTATTCTGGTAAAAGGGTCTTTGGGGGGCACAGAGAAGTAGGGCTAGGGCATAGAACCTACTAGTCCTATCATTTGAAGGTAGGAAAGCTTGAGTCCTAACTCAAGCACATCCTAAGCTGTATGATCTTAAGCAAGTTAATCATTCTGCCTGTTTCAGTTATGAAATTGGGACCCAGATTACCTTGATGTTACAACTGAGATAAATGAAATCACCGTTCCACAATCTCTAGTGCAGAGCCTGGCAAGCTGCAGCCTGCAGGCCAAACCCAGCAAAGTTTTACTAAAACACAGCCAGAGCCATTCACTTTCTATGTCTGCTTTCACCTGCAAAGAATAAAACACGTGCTCTCTGGCCCTTTACCTCTGTAGGGGCTCTCTCAAGTGACCCTCTCACCTCGCATAACTCACAAAAGTCGCTGTAAGGTATAACTTGGGTCATGGTGGCTTACCCCATACGAGACTTTCATCAGTAACTATTGAATGTCCTAGACAGGAGATTCAAATGCTTCACATCCTGAAGTTCTCCACAATTATCCATTTCAAAATTTTCTTCTAAGTTTCAGGTTTGAATGTGTGACAGACAGATCTCCTGGCACTGTTAGATTTATTCTGGTTTTCTCCTGGACTATGTCTTAGACTCTATATGCTATGTGTACATTTCTTAGAGTACATGGATATGTAAACAGGACCTGGCATATGGGCATTATTCAATAGTAAAACATGTCCTATGTCAATATAGCGAAAATAGTGAGGGTGCTGCAGAGGACTGCACCAGAATGAAGCAGAGAAGGCCACAACCTCTTCATCTTTGCCTTCTCCCGGAGGCTATGCCAGTGTATGCACAACATTGCTACAGCCTACTACCGCCAGACACACTTATAACCTGTTACTGCAGCCTGTTAATTGCCAGAGGTACCTGTAACCCATCACCATAGCCTACTACCATGAGACATGCTTATATCCAATGATATAGCTATATTACTACAGCCTGCTACCACAAGATCGACTTGTATTACTACTACATACACTACCTCAGGTCACTGCTTTTGCGCCCAGGAACACCTGCCATAGTATTTTTAAGCAATAGATTGCCATCTTTCCACACCCCCACGCTGAGTTAGACAAAATGTGATGATGAAAGAGCAAAAGCAATCATCAAAGAAACCCAAGAAGCTCATCAACATCTAGGAAATAGGACAAAACCCTGGAGCCCACTTAAGTCAGCTGAACAATAAAAAGGCAGTTTCTGCATCTTTCATGTTCCAAAGGAGATAGATAATTGAGTTTTGAGGCCTCAACCCTACAGATTAGCTTTGGTCTTGCTGGCAAATTGTTTTTAAAGATTCTGGAGGCAAGCTGTGCTTAGCAGAACTTCTACAGTTTAATGGTAATGTATTGGGAGTGAGGGATTATTTGGTACTTTACTTTTTGTAAGTTATACAAGGTTCACATTTAATTAGACAAGGGATTCTATAAAGCTACAAGAATTATTTGATCCCAGATTGTCCAAACACTACATTATATCTAGAGTATACCACCAGGAGAAGCTCAAGGATGTTGTCCTTTAAAGAATTCCAAAGGCATGTATGCCATTGTAAGCGTACATCATTGTGTCTTTGCTCTTTCTCCCATTTACAATTCCTGGGCTTCATGATGGATGACCTGGGCTTGTTTTAGGAAAACAATCATCTTCATTACTGCCAACAAATGAATGAGAAGCATGAGCTGATGGTGATCTGGTGGTTCATCTGGCTCAGCCTGCACTGGCCTTTAGGTGGTTTGTCAACCCAAATAAGCCATTAATATGTGCAGAAAGCATCTCAATGTATCCCAAACCAAAGCCCAACCACAAATGTCATTAGCAAATCTTTCAAACTGGAAAAAAAGGGTAAACTACATATTTCCTCCTGACTCACGTGGTTCTCCCTCTACTCACCACACCCATCTGATTACTTGAAGGGCTAGGGTATTAAGGTCACCCAACATCACTCTTCAGCTAAACAGTAACACTCAAAAACACCTTTGTCAGAGAAAGAAGAGACGTTTTATTTAGAGACCCTGGGGTGGAGAGGAATAATCAATGATGATTATGGTGGTCTTGGGCCTGCACCAAAAGCCCTTCTCTGTGCTGGCTGTGGGAGAGCACATGTTACAGAAAAGCACAAATTCAAGCAGCTTCTTCAACCAAAACATTGACATATTCTGCTGACTAAAGAGACAAATAAGAAAATTAAAGATGTACAATCCAAATCCCATGTGTTTTTCATGTAGGGAACTTCCCAACTCTGTTTCCCAGAGATCCCATCAAAACACAGAGCTTCAAAGAGTTTGCGAGTCCCACCTCAAAGAGGCAGGACTAGGGTTTGTGCGATCTCTCTTTACTGCACGGGCAGGAGGAGGAGGAAGCTCTACGGCACAAAAAAGACAAGCCATGAGCATGGAAAGCCTGGCTCTCCGAGGGACGGGGGGTGGGGGAGCAGCGAAAGAACTGGGTGTTGTTTTTTATCGGCGGGCGGGTGTCCGTGAGGGAAAAGATTGTTAGAGAAGTACTGGGGCCAGTCTTTAGAAGGTGATAGGAGATCTTTGCTTTTGACAAAAGGCATGACAGTTTGAGAGCTTGGCCAAGCACGGATGACAATTCCTCAGTTCTAAAAGTCCCCTCTATGATCAGAAAATATCATCAATACCTTGTCTTCCCATTCCTTTTCAGAAATAATTTCCTGGCTTTTTGCCTCTGTGGGGAATATTTCAGATGGCATGCTGAACACCTACATCTGCAGGCTTTTACCATCTTCTTCCGTTCCTTGGCTATGGTCAGCACAAGGTTTTGGGTGAAACAGAAAGATCTTTTTGCCCCCACTGTTGGCCCTCTCTCCTACCCCAAGTCCATTTGTCCAAAGCCGTCTACCCATCGTTCCCTTTATATAGTGGCTTATGACATGGGCCCTCCTGGTAAAGGGACCTGATGATTGACAGTGCCTTGTCACAATGGCTGAAAGTCAACATGAGAGCTTGGCTGGGTGGTTGAGGCAGTACGGAGGTGTTGGATAAAATCAAGAAAATGCCTATTAGGACTCCTTAAATCAGCTGGCTGCTTATCAGGATAGCCCGTAGGAACCCCCAGGAATTACAGAAACCAAGCAAAATTCCCTTTGCCTTTCAAACACAAGTATGGCACTCTTAAAAAAGCCTTTGTCTGCTGACACATTTAGGCGTACATTCCTGGTTCCATTGCCTTACTTCTAGAAAGAGCTCTTGAGGGAGGATTTGAACAATGGACACTTTTAACATGAATTTATTGAAGTATAATTGACACACAAGAAACTGCACATATTTTAAGTGTACAATTTGATAAGTTTTGACATAGGGATACACCCATAAACCATTACTACAAATTGAGATAATTAAGTAAGTTGTACTCTGCCCCCTTTGTAATCTTTCCCTCCTGCCCCTCCCCCAAGTTCTACTCTAAGTCCCCCCAGAAAAGCTCTAGTCCAATTCATTTTTTAAATCTGCTACCCCTGCCCTATCCCCCAGAGCCCCAAAGAAATATAGCTTCAACTTCAAGAAGCTTGCTATCTGGGAAGAAAAGGCATCCATGCAAATAAAAATCTCCAGGCAGAATCTGGTAGATACAAAATGCGACCAAATAAAGAAGTAACCATAGAGTATAGGGGTTTTTGTTTTGAGTCTTGAAGAACAGATGGAAATTTAATTGGTAAAAATGAAAAAAAAAAGTACAAATCACTGAATTTTCTATGTACGCCTGTACTTTTTCTACTTTTTAAATAACCCAGCTTGGTTAGAACGGAGCTTGCATGAAGAAAATAATAAAGGACATGGCTAAAAACCCAGGTTGGGGTTGGAGAACGGGGATATGAAAATTGAAACATTGTAGTCAAAATATCTACATCTTGCAGACAGTAATGAGTTTCTCAGATTGAACTGAAGTGTGACATGATAAGCCTTGCTTTATGAAGTTTCACTGGGCAGCAGTTTGTGTGAAAAAAGAGACTCCAGCCACCTCCACAGTGACATAGCCCAGAGGCTGATCAAGGGCTGCCACCTGGCATCATAGAAATATGGGCCTCATAAAGGGAGAGAAGAACCCAACACACTTGGGCTTCAAGCCTAAGTAATGTGGCTCTGGGTGGTGCCAACCGGAAGGGTCAGGTTGGCAGGAAGGTCCCAAGAGATGTCATCTCCTCTCTTCCTTAAAAGCCTGCTTTCAAACATACCTACTCAGCAAAGGCTGTAGTGATTCACCCACTTCAAGAAAGCCAACTTCATGTTGAGGTCGTTGCGGGTAGCGGGATGGAGGTGATCATCCAAGCATCCCCCATTGTCCCTCTAATAGCCCACCCCTTGCAGACTCCCAAGAGGCAGAGAATGCTACAGTTCTCTTGTCATTCTTTTAACATAAGACCTAAGGTTTTAATCCTGGGGAGGGCAACAAAGGCAGAAGAGACAGAGAGAGAAAGAAAGAGATGGAGGTGGAGTTGCATTTAAACTACATAGGTGATGCTGAACTTAATGTATTCTATTCTTACTTGTCAAAAAACAATTGAAGCAGCATCATTGCCTGGGGTCAATACCTGGGGTTCATCATCATGTGCCAACAAGATCAGGAACACAGACACATGTGGAGTGGATTAAGGAGCAGGAAGTTTAAGAGGCAGAAGAAAGGAGAGACGAGATCAGCTCTCTCTCTCTCTCTCTCTCTCTCTTTTGAAAGACAGAGGCATCTGAAAGGGAAAAGCTGGCCTGAAGCAGACCTCAGCAGATTCGATAGGCAGGCTTGAGGTGGCAGTGTCTGATTTACATAGGGCCCATACATTGGTTCAACCAGGTGTGACATTTACATAGCGTGGGGAAGGCCGGTTGCTCCACCCTAATCTTATTATGCAAAATGGGCTTTCCACTTGGCCAGCCCCATGTTGTCTGCTCCTTACTGCACATATGGCTGGCTAAGAGAAGGGAAGATGGAGCCGCCATTTTGATCATGTCTAGTTACAGGTAGTCTTTGCCTGTTGGTACAATTGCCAGCATTCACCTGTGCAACCTTCCAGCTTGCTTGTCTATGTCTGCAGCTCAATTTTACAGGCTGCTCTCTGTTAGAAAAGAAAATGTTTAGGGGACAGCTTTTCATTCAAAGGAAAACCTTCCCAAGGACTCCCATATCCTCACTATTGCCTAAGTACCTTCTTCTTAACTTCTATATCACAATCAGCTTGTCTCCACGTCAAAAGCTCTCAGACATCTAAGCTAAAAGGCTTGGAGTCTATGATCTTAATTTTTTGTCTTAGAGATGGTTTCATCCAAATTTGTATAGAGGATCTCCAGGTATCTTACTAACCTCATGTCTGGCCCTTTGTGGTTTTGAGCTCTTTCCTATGCATGCATGGGGGTATGGGTCAGTGTGAGGGATGGTGAAAAGGAACGAAGAACATGTTGTCATGGGATCCCCATTGTAATTTAAAATGTCTGAGAACCCACCAGGTATACACACATCCACATGGATTCCCCACTCCCCATCACTCCCACTAAGCAGCCTGAATAAATCCTCACTTTGTAAACACAGTATCCTTATTGAGGACCTTTGTTTTGATAGATTATAAGGATCCACCTCTCAAGGCAAGGATGTATTGAGAATCTTTTGTGTGCCTATTTTTAAGGACTCAAGAAATGCAGAATATGTAAGAAATAATCTTAAATTAAAAAATTACTCCAGTTTCTCACACAAGCCCCTGGCCTCTCTGTTTACCAGCTTGGGGACCTTGGGATAATTACTAAACACTCCGATCCTGGAACATGGCAATAACAGTATCCACCTCAGAGGGTTGATGTGAGGGTTAAATGGCTTCATATCACCAGAGTACTTACCATATTGCAGGCATAGTCTTGCAATAGGTAACAAGCTATTTTGGCTCTGTACTCCCAGAGTGAAGGGTGCCTGAGGGAAGGCCAAAAGGAGAAATAACAAGGACAAGCCAAGACAGGGATGTCAGACCAAACTGCCAACTTAGCTGCAGTGAGGAAGAAGAGTGAGGTCAGATGGGGGTGACTTCAAGGTCATGTGCATTACGTGGGCCAAGGAAAGTGAGAAGTCCTGTCATTTTTTAAATGGCAGAGCAATAAAGGTTAAATAAAAGCCCCTCTTTTGAGAAGCTTGGCTGAGAAGGGAAGGAGAGGATGGTGATTAGAGAGAAGCTTACCTTCCCCTGTTGAAAAACAAGTTCCACCCTCCACTACCTCCGGTCCCATCTCTCCCCCACCCACACTCCTGCCCATACCCTTTACTGTGTTTCTGCAGGAATCCGATTGCCAAATGCTCTGCAGGAATCACCTAGGGTAAGGACAGAGAAATGAGATGCTGTTCCTCGAGCACTCACGCAGTGCCTGACGCTTAACAGTTGCCATTAAAGTACTCTGACCACCTCAAGTATCACAGCTTCCAGTTTTGCATGCCTTACTTTCAATACCATTCTTTCCCGAGTTTTCTTCTGTTCTCTCGGTCTCCTTGCCCTGCTCTCTCCTCTGAAACACCCAAGGCTGATGAGTCCCATAACGTTGTCTCTAGAGCATCTCACCTGCTTCTGGAGATTCAACCACACAAAACTCTACCTTGCCAGTGCTCAAAACTGCATCACCAGTCTCAGTTGCTCACGAGCTACAGATAGCACTATCCAATTTGTCTACAGGGCATGCTTGGGGACATGGGACCTGTCCGGTAGACATTCAACCTACGCAAAACTAAAACCAGGTTTTTCTGTCCACATATATGTCCTGCTCCTGTGTCTACTCAGCAGTCATTCACTATTCACTTAGGACAGAAGTCTAGATTAAAACTTTACCCCTCCACATAAGTCATGTCAGTATTTTATGACTCACCCCTTCTTCTCCAACTCCATTGCTGACTTGGTTTAAATGGCTCAATATCACTAGAGAACCTGCCATATTGCCGGCACTGTCCTGCAATAGATAGCAAGTTAGACTTCAAGTCTTTTGTTGATAGCTGTTTTTATGGTCAACATTAAGTCAAAGATATCACCCTCTGGGTAACTGAACATCTTCCTCTGCATCCCCTCTGTAGCAGCAGGTAGAGCACATCCACTAAAATTAAGTCGATGTTGATCTAAATCCCGGCTCTGCTGTTTAGTATTTGTAAACTCTTGAGCAATTTCCGGAAGCTCTGAGCCAGTAAGGAGGTGAACTCCAACTAGGCATTTAGTCTCCTCGTTAGTGACACGATAGGATTGTCATTAAGCCTGAGTCCTTCTCTCTTTAGCTTACTGAAGATTTTTAAGACTGGGAGAGAGAAAATGATCTGTCCATATTTAGTAATTCGAGAAGCCTGGATTCAGAAAATCAGTCTGACTAAATATTGGAGGAAATCATCCCAGGTCCCCTGCTCAGCTCTTCACTTGTAGATTGGTTGACGGACCTCATGTGGACTTTGTGACATCCCAGAGAGGGGAGGACCAAGTCACAGTGGCCTAGCTTCTTTGCAGCTGGGCCCCTTCTGTCTCAGAGCTAGGAAAACAGTCTTCAGGCAAATAACTGGAAAGCCCCCTTCAGGCTCCTGACATCTCCCATCACTAAGTGTGAGCACTGAATGTGTGCATTCAGCCACACAAGGATACAGCAGAAATGCATGTACCCCAGGACTCAGCCAGTTTCCTACAGGAGCATAGAAGAAGGCACCACTAAAGGAGAAGAAGGAGAAGGAGGAGAAAGCGGGTAGCGATCGGTGAGGCTCACAGGTTGGAGTGGGAGGAATGAAAACAGGAGAGTACCAGCTATGGATGGAGGATGTGTGTGAGGAGGGGAGAGAAGACGGTCATGGAGCCAGTAATGAAGAGGCTGAATTCATTCTCAGGCACATGGCACAGCCTCAGTATGAAGCAAGTCATTTGCAAGTATTCATCAATCTCCCATTATGAATAAGAGATTTGACCAGCTCTCCTGGTCTATAAAGGTGAATGAGATAGGGATTTTTCAATTTAGTTATCTGGTATGTGCCATCAGTAGTGTCTTAAGTGAGGCAGGAAAGACAGAGTGGGGTTCATAGTCACGGGACCTGTGCATCACAAACGGCCTTGTAATCACTTGCTTACCCACCCTGATCCCACACTTATGCTTATCTGTCACCACCATGAAATTTCTAATA